TTTAGCGTACGTGACTGGACCTCGTGGTATGTTGAACTACGCGGGCCTGTTCTGACATTCTGGACCACTACCGATTTAGTCGGAGATGCAGCTCGTCTACAACTACTTCATGATCCGCAAGTATTGAGCGCTCACAAATCGCAAACCATACCAAACTACATCAACATTACGGATTCGGTGGCCGAGGTCATTGGCATGTTCGAGGATCGTCAATTCGTGCTTAGTCTTAACACGGCCGGTGCCAATCGATTCTATCTGGAGGCCACCGGGCCACAGGTCATGCTAGCCTGGGTACGCTGCATTCGTTTAGCGTGCTACGAGGTCACTCATTTGTGCGAGATCTACACGCAAGCCTTGATGAGTCGACCCGCATTCAGCAAGGGTGCCTCAACGCGATCCGGTAAACGTACAGAAGGCTGGCTACAAGCACGAGCCACCGGCAGTACGGAATGGAAAAAGTACTGGACGGTCATTGATGTGGCGGGCCCAGTACCGCGAGTGGTATTCATGGACTCGAAACGATCCAAGAAGCCTATCTTCGTGATGACCAACATTTCACAGGCATACGCCATTTATCCGGAGAAACCGCAACTGGTCGACCTATCAACAATTCATAAACTGGAGGGTTTAGTATTACACGGCGAGGATTCATCACCGGTGCCTGCATTCGTTCAATTAATGGCACCAGCACCCGCGGAAATGGCACGCTGGCTATGTGCCGTCCATGATGCCTTCTACCTGTATGGCTGCCCGGGTATGCCACAAATCATACCGCTACCTGACGAGCATAATCTCTATTTGGATCCCGCCGAAGTGGCCGATGTACCGGTGGACGGGCATAGTCTAGCCGCCACCAAACAGATATTTGATCGAATTGCTAATGAAAAACAACAGCAACGTCATCGATCGCCTGCTACTAGTAATTCGGGTAGTTCGGCTGCATCTCCATTCGCACCACGTCCTCCCACCATGAGTCGTAGCAATAATAGTAGCTCGCAACATCCTAATATGCAACACTCTGGTATATTCGCGCCATCTAGCCATCGACAAGGACATGTTCATCAGCCAAGTCTACACAATCCCAGCGGTAGTGGACCGATGCCACCGCCACCTCCTCCTCCAGTGAATCCCATGAATCCCAACTATTATTCTCCTCCCCCTCTTGGTAATAATGGTCCACCATTACCACATCCACCTCCACATCCGATACAACACCAAATGAATGTACCATCACCACCCGGTTCACGTAATAGCTCACTCAGTGATCGCGCTCCTCATAATCGACCGCCATTGTCGCATAATCCGAGTAACATGAGTGTGTCATCGAACCATCAGTATGTGCCACCGCCACAGCAGAATGTTATCAATCCAATGGTGCACAATCATGTTGGTACTACCAATCCAGGTCACACGGCCAACTCTTCTATCTCGTCCAATAACAACAGTCAAGATCGTCAGCTGCCCATTACTAATACATCGTCGATATCGCCTCCAATGGCATTGTCCTCATTGCCCGAGATTCCATCTATTAGTGGTGATTTAATGGGAGATGGACTGCATGGACTATCACTGACCGAGAAAGATACGAAATCAGAGAAGAAAGAAGAGAAACCACAACGACGACGTAAACCGGCTCGTCCATTAGCCAGTGATTCTGAAGAGGAAGAGGATGATGACGACGACGACGACGAGGATAACGAAGAAGATGACGAGGATGAAGATGAGCCAGCTGAGAAGAAGAAAGAAGTGGCAGCACCTGTCAAGCCATCTCCACCTGTATCGCAAACTAGTCCACCCATTATTCATCCTAGCAGCGATCTATTGCCACCCATTGGTGGTCTAATATCATCCGATATCAACTTGTCATTCCTTAATGTCGACCCTCATGCAGCGGAATCGGCGGTAACCAGTACGAAAGCAGACACATCAAGCACTACAGCGAAACCTGCTACCGAGGAGAGTGCTGCAGAGGCACCATTAAGTGCAGCAGCTAAACGACGTAATCGACGATTAGCCAAGGCACAGGCACCACTTCCATCGGATAGTGAAGAGGATGATGACGATGATGACGATGACGATGATGGCGAGAATAAGCCAAATCTACCAATGACGACCACGACGATTAATACGACAGGCAACAATCCGATACTAGGCACATCCAACGCCAATGCCTCTACACAATCATTAGGTATGAATGAAGCAATGGATTCGATAGCACGTCCACGTACGGGTAGTGTTCCAATGCTTAGCGAGGGACGTCGACCATCAATGCCATTCGACTGGCAATCCAATAACTCTGGTAATTTACTAAAACATACTATCATCATATACAATTACTAACAACGTTGTTAATAGAAACCACACTTCCATCCATGCAATCAGGTCGTCCTCAATCGGCACACTTACTAGAATCGGGACCAGCTTATCCAGCGATGACTATGAATGCTGCCAATGTTGGTGTCGGTGCCGGTGTTGGCGGTACATTCAATCAAATGCGTCCAATGAGCCATGCTATGGGTAGCACGTTTGACCCTATGCAACCGATGCCTGGTATGGAGTTTATGACACCAGAGGAGCGTTGGCGTTGGGAGCAACAACAGCTACAGCTACAACAGCAACAAATGTATATGGCACAATCGGGCGGCATTATGCAGCCACCAATGGCGCCATTTATGGGACACAATCGTATATCCATGTTCAGTCAAGGCAGCGGTAGCGTATACGGTGGCGGTATGGGCAGTGGACCAGGTAGTGCTTATGGCGATGATAATCAAAGCATCGTTAACGGTATGCGACCAAATCCACACAACATGGGCTACACCAATGAACATATGCAACGTATGCATATAGCGCAAGAGGCAGGTTTCGACTACACGGGCATGCAAATGGGCGATTTCAAGCCACCGCAAAACTCGTTGCTAGCCGCGCATGATGCAGCAAAACAACATCAGAGTGTCTACGGTCTACCCGGCATGAGTGGCATATCGGGCAATGTAGGAGGACAACGCAGTGGTCCACTCGTGCAACTAAAGGAGAAGCGTAAGCAAGCACAAACCACGGGACTAGTTGGCGCCATTCATGCTCGTGAGCAAATGAAGGCTGCCAATAAGTACAGCAATGCCGCCTATGGCAACCAGCCTCGACATGATCCTGACCGCGAGCGTGAACGAGCATTAGATCGTGAAAAGGAACGCTGGCTCGAACAGCAACGACAGAGCACGTTCATGCAAGATGAGATGATGCGTAGACGCGCCACGAATATGACACCGGTAGGTGGTGCCAACATGAGTATGATGCAAGGCATGCCTATGGGTCAGAATCCCAATATGATGATGATGATGCGACCTAATATGACGATGATGGACGATGGCGACGACGTATCTCTAATGAACTTTAGCCAGCTACAGCTACAACAACAGCAGCAACAACAGCAGCAACAAGCAATGATGAATGCATCGAATGCTGGTGGATTTGGTCTAGTTGGCGGACAATTACCGAATCATTCAGCATCAAATATACTTGACGGCTCGCTACTAGGTATACCGTCATCGTTCATGCATAACCACGCTTCACCAGCATCATCACCGGGTTTAATGCCTATCACCGGGTTGGAAGACTCGATCAATTCCATGTCACTTAATAAGCGTGAACCAGATCAAGTAATGCAACAACAAAAGCACGTACGTCACTCTTCTCGCGGTAACTTGGAGAACATTAGCAACATATCTGACGACGATGATGACGATGACGAGGATGAAGAAGACGATGACGACGAGGACTCGGACTCGGAAGGTTCGGTAGACGACGATCTACGTGGACCACCCGGCTCTCGTAGTACGACACAGCTACAAGTAATAACGGAGGTAACGCCAGATCTAGTCGATATATTCGATCAATTTGTCGATGAACAACTGGAAATGCGCCCATACTCGTTTGTACCGGCCGCACAACTCTACTCGGCCTACAAGCTCTACTGTCGAACTAAAGGAGCAAGCGAAATTGCCAATGAAACGGTACTCGAGGAGATGATGACCGATAACGGATTCCTTAAGAAGCGTCGTACCGCCGTGTCGGGCAAGAAAGGTCGACGTTCCGCATCATCCAAGGAGGCACCGGCAAGTGGCGAGGAAGAATGGTATAACATTGCCCTCGTATCCTAATGTTGATACAGTTTGTTATCGTTATCGTTATTGTTTCTCTCTATCTATCTAATACGCTCTCTCTCTCTCTATTACATTATAGCAATGCATTTATTATTACATCTAAATTGCGCATAATCAATAATAATAATAATAACTAAATTTATTAAGTGTTTCAATCGAGTCTATAAGTAAATAATAATAAAACCATTTAGCATGTTATTTTACGTTAGAATACTTGTCTATGTAAGACGTTCACACTAGGAGGGTGAAAAGGGAGGTATAAAGCGATAAGTGAGGTCTTATTAGTATAAGACGCTCACGCAAGTAGAATAGAAATAAGGGACAAAGCGACGAGTGAGGTCTTACGTAGAACGAGATCGTGCGAGAGAACCTTATGACACAAACTACACGAACTCAAACAATAAAGCAAGTTACGAATAGTCAGAAGTGTCAAGGAAAAGGTCAATTAATGTTTATTGATATGTGTAACGTCGTTAGTTTATATACGCAACATACACCGCTCCATGAACGTAGCTCTGCTACGTTCTCTGTATTAAAAGAGACTTCTCCTCGAGTAAGAAGCGCTTAATCGGTAGGAGGGAGGTGATGTTGAGTAAGATAAATATGGCAACGTTAGTAGTGTTAATGATAGTGTTGATAATGAGAATACTGAAGTTAATGATAGAGATAATAATAATGTGACTGGTGATGCCGATGATGATACTAGCTAGTAGTATCATCATGATCTTCGATGAAATGGGTGAGAGGCGTCACAGTCTAAAAGATTAAAGAATAATCCTAGATTGTAGTTGAACGGTTCAAAAAGAAAATGCCATGCTGAACATAAGCAAAAAGAGATGTTTCCACCCGGGGTCGAACCGGGGACCTTCTGCGTGTAAAGCAGATGTCATAACCACTAGACTATAGAAACTAACTCGTTATAATTTTAAGCATTTTTACTTACTAATATCAATTGAGTAAAATTGGCCAAAAAACGAAAAATTTGCTATTTTTACGTAAAAATAGAGGATGGGGTTGTAGCCAAGTGGTTACGCTCTATTTCTCGGACGAATAGGTCCTGGGTTCGATTCCTGCCAATCCCGTCATAGGGAAAAAAAAGGTATCATTTCTAACTAGTTAACAGAAATGTTGACATTTATTAACCTACCGACTATAAGAGGCGGTGCCGTGGCCTAGTGGTACGGCGCCCGTCCTCGGACCGTAGGGGTCCTGGGTTCGATTCCTGCCAATCCCTTCAAGAGGAAAAAAGGTATCAAAAAAGTATAGGCAGCTTTAAAAATGTCTTCACCCAACCATAATAATAACTAGGTTGGTTCTTTCACCCGCGTGCGGTTTTCCAGGACGTCTTAACCAACGGCCGACTTCTCCCATCGATTTCCAAGAAATAGGATATGCGATGTCTTCACTTGTGGACATGCCCAGTTTGTATAAACATGTTTATTATAATAAAATAAGCTACGGCAATGTTCAAAAAGAAAAAAAAAAAAATAACCTACCGACTATATGCTAGTTGGTTTTCTGCTACACAACCGTGGTCTGCACTCGCAAGACACATTTCCATTCCGTGGGCATTGGGCTGTTTGTCAATTGTTTGTTATTATAACCCTGTTTAATTCATTTATAATAAAAGACGGCATATAGCCAAATATGTTCTAACAAGAAAAAAAAAAATATTTTTACGTAAAATTATCAAAAGATACGTAGTTGTACTACTGAAAACAATGTATGGAATTACGTATAATGTTTACATTGAATTATTTACGTATTTCTGTCGTATGTTATTAATTAACAACACACACACAACTTGTTCTCCTATACAATTGTTATTCCCTCGCTTTCGTCTTTCGCTTCTCGTTAACTGTACGCGAGATGGATAAGTGAGGTACAAAAGCGAATCAAAGCCGATCTATATCATTCAAAATTACTTAACAACATGAAGAGGTTCGAGAAGTCGTGGACACGGATAAAGTGTCAATGGTTTGTTTTCGAGTCAGGTGGAAATGCTTATAACGGTAGAGTGTTATTCAATAATGCACTACCAACAGCATTAAACACGCAACATAATAATACACGGCCTAACGACTCTCGATAACCACTCACTTCAATAACCCAAACGATCATATCTCTGTACTTTATTTTATCTCATATGATCATTCATTTGAATGTTGTCAACTTGGTTTATTATAATAAAATAAGCTACGGCAATATTAAAAGAAAAAAAAATCGCTTCTCGTTAACTGTACGCTATTATACTAGATTATAGTGCGTAATCTGGACGATGACAACAAGGCGAGTGTTCAGTTTATTAGCGTACGTGTTCATCTACTAATTACTGCATTGTATACAATGTTTTGTTCATTATTTATTGTTTACGTGTTTCCTGCTTGTTTTCTTGTTACCAACGTTGAATACAAGCATATAGACCGCGATTAAGGTAGGTAATCATAGAAAAAGCGCAAAATTTTTTTTTTTTTTTCTTGTTAGAACATATTTGGCTATATGCCGTCTTTTATTATAAATGAATAAACCAGGGTTATAATAACAAACAATTTGACAAACAGCCCAATGCCCACGGAATGGAAATGTGTCTTGCGAGTGCAGAACACGGTTGTGTAGCAGAAAAACCATTTTTTTTTTCTTTTAATATTGCCGTAGCTTATTTTATTATAATAAACCAAGTTGACAACATTCAAATGAATGATCATATGAGATAAAATAGAATACATGGATATGATCGTTTGGGCTATTGAAGTGAGTGGTTATCGAGAGTCGTTAGGCCGTGTATTATTATGTTGCGTGTTTAATGCTGTTGGTAGTGCATTATTGAATAACACTCTACCGTTATAAGCATTTCCACCTGACTCGAAAACAAACCATTGACACTTTATCCGTGTCCACGACTTCTCGAACCTCTTCATGTTGTTAAGTAATTTTGAATGATATAGATCGGCTTTGATTCGCTTTTGTACCTCACTTATCCATCTCGCGTACATCGATAAGCTATCAACCACCGAATTATCTAACGACGCTTCCGCATGCGCTCTATATACTTGCCATAGTGCTAATGCGTGGAAGACGTTGATGTTTGGTATGGACTTTTTCCATGCTGGCAATCCCGTCACGATGTCGACCATGGTGATTTGCCTGGCAGGTGAGTTGTCCATGTAGCAGAAAAACCAACTAGCATATTTTTTTTTTTTCTTTTTGAACATTGCCGTAGCTTATTTTATTATAATAAACATGTTTATACAAACTGGGCATGTCCACAAGTGAAGACATCGCATATCCTATTTCTTGGAAATCGATGGGAGAAGTCGGCCGTTGGTTAAGACGTCCTGGAAAACCGCACGCGGGTGAAAGAACCAACCTAGTTATTATTATGGTTGGGTGAAGACATTTTTAAAGCTGCCTATACTTTTTTGATACCTTTTTTCCTCTTGAAGGGATTGGCAGGAATCGAACCCAGGACCCCTACGGTCCGAGGACGGGCGCCGTACCACTAGGCCACGGCACCGCCTCTCAAAAACCAACTAGCATATAGTCGGTAGGTTAATAAATGTCAACATTTCTGTTGACTAGTTAGAAATGATACCTTTTTCCCTATGACGGGATTGGCAGGAATCGAACCCAGGACCTATTCGTCCGAGAAATAGAGCGTAACCACTTGGCTACAACCCCATCCTCAGAAAAAGCGCAAAAAAACGCAATGTTAGGAGGAGAGGAATTGAGAAAAACGAGGCTGATAGTGGCAAGAAATGCTTCGATTTCATGGAAGTTAATGGTGCGTTGGCCGAGCGGTCTAAGGCGCTGCACTCAAGTTGCAGTCTTCGTATGAAGGCGTGAGTTCGAATCTCACACGCACCAAACGTTTTGCATTCCTGAAATGTTAGCTTTTTGCAGTAGAATGGTATTTCATGTAATATTTTGCATTTTTGCACGGTAGAACAGCGAGAAAGGTGGTAAAAGTGTAAGTGCATGCATGTGAAAAGGGCAGGTGAAACGTAAAATGATGATGTAAGACGTCATGTAGCATAGAACGACAACGAATAAACAATTAATCACAACTAGAGGGATGTACTTTTATTTACTATCTATCATATGTATATGTATATCGTTATGAGCTGTGATGGTTATCAATAGTATCGTCATTGTGTTCATATTATTGTATCAAACTATGGTAAGTAGCAGAATGTTTGCTATCACTGCATCGCGCTATTAAATAGCACGCTATTCGCCATGTATACGACGCCGTACGGTTACTCACCATCATCTCGTTCAATTGTCGTTAACATGTGCTATTATCCAGTGGCCACCTCCTCGATGAAGAGCAATCTTGTGACGAGCCAAGCATCGCGTGTATGTGCACGTCGCGGTTGTACTCATCCATGCTACAAGACTAAACAAGGTTCACTTTGTTACTCCTATTGCAGTCATCTATGTGGTCAGTTGGATGCGACAAATAGTGAGTATTTCACCTTTCTACCGGTATATCAGGACGATGTCGATTTTCATCAAGTCTGTGCGCAGCTAAACAAGGAGAATCATGATTTAACCAATGGTACTGCTGCTGTTTTCCGAATTATGGCACCGCACAGCATGCTGCAACGATATGCGAGCAGCATAAAGAAATACGGAGGCAACTCACGACGTATTATCTGCTATATCGATCAACAGGGCAATGACGTGCTGCGTAATAAAGCATCTACAAAGTGTTTCCCTGAGGTCATTCTCAAAGGTAAGTAGTGCTTATTCATTATTTGATTGCATACTTAATGACTTTAATTGCTAGCCGTTCCAGAGAAATTGCCTGATTCCATTGCTCAATACGAGCAACAAGAGGATTGGCATATTGCTATAGTATGCAGTGTACCAAGCATACATGCAGCACCATCCAAGACTACAATGGTTAGTTATTGAATTATTTGCTACTACTTGTACATACTAACTTGATGCTTAGCTCTTGCCTCGTTTTCTCGTCTATTATCACAAATAGACAATAGTTTTTTACGTGATATCCATTGCAATTATTGCGTTTAATCACTTGTATATATGAAGTTGCATTTACGAATAAATCAATCTTTTACTTGGATACAAACAGTGTAATTGATGCTGATGCATTAGTGATTACGATCATCGCTGATGGATTTAGATTGTTTTCTTTTTTGCTTGCCTGATATGATTAATTTCACGCAGCGTCACTTTCCTGTCAACGGCTTCTTTTCCCTTTTACTCGACCATGCTAGCTAAACGTGTTCTAAGTATTGCCGCACTGCGCAACCAATGTATACGTACAGTAAGTGGAATAGTTGCATTCTACGTGAGATGCAACAATCAGCTGTACCAATATTAACATACAAGTATAGTCGATACATACTCGTCGTACACTGACTTCAGCGGCCACTTCGAATTCACCGCCTTCGGTAAGTATTGCTTATATAGTATAATAAACAGCTACTAATTGGCCACTTACACCATAGGCCAATGAGAGTGTCAAACCTCCATCCAATATTCCAGATAATTTGCGTAGCCACACGAAATATCTACTCAATGTTTACGCGCGTCCATCCTTTGTCGTTAATCGCGGTGAGCGCTGCTATCTCTATGATGACACAGGCAGACGTTATCTTGATTTCACGGCAGGCATTGCCGTCAATGCACTCGGTCACGCTGACCCGCAAGTAGCCGAGGTTGCCGCACAACAAGCTCGCGAACTCGTACACACGTCAAATCTCTACCATCATCCGTATTCGGGCGAGTTTGCCGAACTACTCGTCGAGTCAAGCAATGCAGCTCGTCCGGGCAGTTTCAGCAAAGTGTTCTTCTCCAATAGTGGCACCGAAGCTAATGAGGCCGCGTTTAAGCTGGCGCGTAAATGGGGCAAGCTTCATAGTAAGAAGACCGGCGACAAAG